AGCATCCCATATGGTCCCCTAAGCACCACCAGGAGTAATTTCTGAGTGCAGAGCCAGGAATAACCCCTGAACATCACTGGGTGTGACCCAAAAAGAAAAAAAAATAAAGAGTTAATTGAGAGCTGGAGCCATAGCACAGCGGGTAGGGTGTTTACCTCACACGAGGCTGAACCAGGTTCGATTCCCAGCATCCCATATGGTCCCTCGAGCACCACCAGGAGTAATTCCTGAGTGCATGAATAACCCTGTGCATAGCTGGGTGTGACCCCCCCAAAAAAAGAGTTAATTGAATTAATGACTGAAGTTCCTAAAGTGTATTCTGATGAGATGTACAATAAACTGTTCATAGTTATCAGACAAAAGAAAGGATCTTATGATGCAGTAAGGTCAGGAACCAGGAGTGCTGGAGCAATAGGACAATGGGTAGAATGTTTGCCTCGCACATGACCAACCTGGGTTCAATCCCTGGCACCGGGTTTGGTCCACCAGGAGTAAGCTCTAAGTATTGCTGGGTGTGGTCCAGAACAAAATAAAACAAAACAAAAATTCAGGAAACAAACATTGAATAGATACCTTTTTTTTTTAATGTAGGAGTACTGCTATTTATTCAGCCACTGATTAGCTGATTGAATTGTGCATGAACGCCACTGAATAGATATCTTTACCTCAGAATTTTCTAATAGTCATTCTAGTAAGTTCGAAGAAAAATCAGATGGGTAATGGTAGAGAAATAAAAAAGCAGTCAAGAGACTCTTATCCCGCAGTAGATAAGAGTCCTCTTTGCAAAAGATTGGAGACAAGATGAACAAATTCAGTAGAAACTTTGAGGAAAGGAAGGGAAGGGCAAGGAAACTGAAGCATGGAGTTTCCTTCAGTAGGATTCCTGGGAATGGTTAAAAAAAAAAACTTTTTTATAATCTCTTAAATAGGGGGAATGGATGAGCACTTTGCACTAGATTTAGTGCATGCAGGATAGTAAGACAAAGGGTTTGGGGAACAGAGGATGTTAGAGAGGATTATCTTTACCCATCCTGGGTGCATAATTCTGGGTCCATTCTCATGGCAATTCCATACTGGGAACTTTTCCTCTCTGGACATTCTCTTTCTAATTTTGTCCTACCTTATTCTCTCTTGTCACTATATTGTTCTATCACTCTTAGCCTCTTTATGCCAGTGAAGAATTAGAACAAATATAAAGGCAAAACAGGCAAACAGTGGGCCCAAGATCCTAACCTCTTCTCTTCATATTGTTCTTCTCAGTCCCACATTTTGTAAACCCCTGCCCCCTACCCACCCACCATGCTGATGAGATCAGCCTTTATTACTTCTCTTCTGGAGCCAGGAAGCAAGGTAATGTGTGGGAAGTGATAGCTGCAAGGTAATGTGTGGGAAGTGATAACAACTTCAGAGTTGAAACCATTCAACAAGAAGATTTGTTAAAAGACCAAGACATTGTAAAAGCTGAAACACTTGAGTCTATTAAGTCCCCCTGCTTCGGAACATTTTGTTACCAGGGAGTGTTTCAAGGAGGGAAAACACTGAACTATCGCAGCACTGTCAGCTACCAAAGCCTGGTGGTACAAAGAACAACATTTTGCTAGACATCTGTTCCTCTGCCCTAGAGAAACTTCTAAAAAGTTCGACTTTGCCCTTCTCCTAGCTTCCTTAGCCCATATAATTCCCCCTGCCTCCTTGCCTGGTAAGCGCACCCTTAAACACTCCTTCCCTTAATTCTCTTTCCCCCACCCTCCCTCCCTCCCTCCCTCCCTCCTATCCAGTGGTTATTCAATGCTCTTTGGTAAGAAGGGGAACTAATTAAGTGACTAGAGATTTAGACATGATGTTTATTGGATCCAAACTCCTTAAGAGAGACTGGAGCGTTCTCCTAAACAAACATTGCCCTTTCATGGTTTCTTGCTCCATGTCAAAACTAGAGAAAGTGAAGGAGACAGTATCTTTTCACCAAGATTATAAAAGGAGTAGAACGGAACTCCTGGATGGGCGGAGGGAGTGGGGTGTGGGGGACCATGTACCCATCACAGGAAGACTAAAGTAACTTTATGCCTCTTGGCAATCATTGTTGGGGCTGATTATCAGTAGGTTGGAACTGTAGCAATGATGACACATTTGTACATTTGCTCACACTAATGATCTGTTTAACTGTCTGTGTTAGAAAACATCCATCACGGGAATGTTTTTTAAACAAAAGTTAGTCTTCCAAACAAAAAAGTAAAGATAAACCCAAATATCTCCTTGCCAATCTTAACAAACATGGTCCCCCTCTACCACAAGGCACCTTAGAAGACAGAAACCATCTGTTAAATAAACAAAGAATTAACAGACTCAATTTTCTAGTTTGGGGATATTACTAGAATGTTAGTGATTTACCTACAAAGAAGTAGTTTTACTTGGAAGTTTCTTTAGTCCTCCGACAGGAGACAGGCTTTAAAGACTCTGCCTTTTGACAGAAGGGCAGTGGTGGAGGATTGTGGCACTTGGTTGGTGAGTGAGGGGTAGAAACATTTTATGTCTCGCCTATCAATATGAATTCTGTTGTAATTTTTGATACTTCAATACAGAAATGGGCTAGAGTGATAGTACAGCGAGTAGGGCGTTTGCCTTGCACATGGCTGACCCGGTCAACCCGAGTTCTATTCCTCCGCCCCTCTTGGAGAGCCCGGCAAGCTACCGAGAGTATCTCGCCTGCATGGCAAAGCCTGACAAGCTACCTGTGACGTATTCAATATGCCAAACACAGTAACAACAAGTCTCACAATCTTACTGGGCACGCTCGAGCAAATCGATGAACAACGGGAGGACACTGACAGTGACAATACAGAAATAATAATTTAAATTTTTTACTTTTATAAATTTTTATTTTGTTTTAGGCACCAAGGTTAACAAAACTGTTCTTAGTAGGGTTTCATGCATGGAACATTCAAGAACCACACCTCCCACCAGAGTGTCCACTTCCCTCCACCATTGTCCAAGTGTCCCTTCCTTTTTCCCCACTCCCTGAGGTCAGCTTTCCACTGGAAACAGGGTTTTTCTCAGTTTCTGTTGCCTTTGGGCATTTTTTATTCCCTTACTTTGTTTCTTTACATCCCATAAGAGAGAGAGAGAGAGAGAGAGAGAGAGAGAGAGAGAGACAGACAGACAGACAGACAGACAGACAGACAGATAGACGGAGATCATTCTGTATCTATCCCTTTTCTGCAAGGCAGATGCCCTACCCACTGTGCTATCACTCCAGCCCCTCATATAGAAATTTTAATTTTAAAAATAGACTTAGACTTAATATCAAGCCTTGGTCCTGCCATTCTTTTCATGAGACAGTAGGACACGTAGCCTAAGATTCAGGAACTTTAAGGGACAAACAAGACTTTCCACGTGCTGCATAAAAGGCTGACACCCAAGGACAGTAGGTTTGCTCCATAGCTGGAAGCCTATCTCATGAACGGAGGGGGGAAGGCAGATGGAATAGAGAAGGGATCACTAAGAAAATGATGGCTGGAGGAATCGGTCAGGATGGGAGATGTGTGCCAAAAGTAGATAATGGGTCAAACATGACGACCTCTCAGTGTCTGTATTGCAAACTATGATGCCCAAAAGTAGAGAGAGAGTATGGAGAATATTGTCTGCCATGGAGGCAGGGGGAGGATGGGGAAGAAGGGGGTATACTGGGGATATTGATGGTGGAGAGTGTGCACTGGTGGAGGGATGGGTGTTTGATCATTGTGTGATTGTAACCCAAACATGAAAACTTATAACTATCTCACGGTGATTTAATAAAATTTAAAAAATATAAAATAAAATAAAAATTTCAGCTGTCCTGTGGAAGGTCTTCAGACCTCTGGACCTGAGACTTATATTTTCTGTCCCTCTTTTTTCTTTTTCTCCTATGGACCCAGAATTGTCTGGTGTAGGTGAAAATAGTCTTTTCCTTGGCTCAGTGAAGGTACCTGGTGTCCTGAAAGAGGTCATTGCTTTCCCCAAGGATGTCCAAGAAGGTTGGCTCACCACTGGTTTACCACAGGCCAAATTTGAGGTTAATGAACCATTGGTCATCATGAGTGAGGCCAGTGTGTTATTCAGACATTCAGAGAAGAGAAACTGGATTCAGCTGTGCATAATAACTTTTATCCACATTCCTCCCTTTCCTAATCCTAAACAAGTATGTCCTTCAGATGTACAAGGTGGTTGAAAAATTATTTCGGGAAGAGCCAGTTCATCATTTAGATCACTCTATAGTTAAAGAGACCTGTTAATCTGCCAATCCATGTTAAGATGCATGCTAATGTTCTCAATAAAAAAAATGTTTTTAGTAAAACAGGGATTCTGTCCAAAAAATAAGCCATTTGAGGATTGGAGAGATAGTACAGGGATAGTGTGCTTGCCTCACATGCAGCCAACCTGGCTCGATCCTTGGCACCCCATATGGTCCCCCAAGCCTCTCAGGAGTGATACCTGCATACAGAGCCAGTAGTAAGCCCTGAGTACCACTGAGGGTTTTCCCCAATCCCCCAAGAAAGGTTGATCTATTGCTCTGTGGAAGGATTACTTTATTCAGAATGAGTCTGAAAAGTGCTTTTGGCAAACTGGCAAAACACAACAAAACAAGAAAAGTAACTCACACATAGATTTGGTCAATTCTGTGGTGGTTAACAGAGGGAAAGAGGCTGAAGTGGGAGAATGGGTAGTGGGATTAGAGGTGGTTTTTTTTTGGGGGGGGTGTTGCGTGGGCTGGTGCTGGGACAATGGTGGTAGATACCGTGAATCCTTTAGCTATATAGAAGTGTTAGCGTATACCATTGAAATTCCGTAATATTGTAAATGAATGAAAATCACTAAAAGGGTGCAGAGAGAAAAAGTTGATCCATGGGAAATTGAAGGAATATTGACAGTTCTGTATTGGCAACAGAGGGGCCAGACCTTCTGGCCACAGCAGCCTGGGTTAGAGAGAGATGTGTGTGCACTGATGTTGTTATCTCACCCTACAGACCTCAGTGACCAGCTCCTTGAAGTAGTGGGACTAGAGGGAGCCATGGAGATGGGACAGATCTACACTGGCCTGAAGAGTGCGGGCAGGAGACTGGCCCAGTGCTCCTCTGTGACCATCAGGTATGCATCTAGTTTACCCAGCAGTCTCAAGTCCCCCCCCACTGACATAGTAGGAAGCTCTTTGGATTTCAGTGCAGAGAGAGTGGGGAGAGTTTGCTGTTCTCTTCAAATGAATTGGTGGAATTTCCTGAACAGGACTAGAAGTTTATGCAATCCCAAGAACCAAAGGCCCAACTTTTTGTGTTAAAAACAAAATACTCGAGGCTGGAGTCATAGTACAGTGGGTAGGCATTTGCCTTGCATGTGGCTGACCTGGGTTCGATCCCTGGCATCCTATAGGATCCTGAAGCACCTCCAGGAGTAATTCCTGAGTACACTGCCAAGAATAACTCCTGAACAATGGCAAGTGTGACCCAGGAAGAAAAAAAATTCAGATGTCAGGTATGCCAGAGGGCACATTCTGACAAAAAACAGATACTCTGCTCTGTTCTTTCTTGGACAGTGGCCCTTGAAATTTCCTGGCTGCATTGTAGAACAAAACCATCAGCATGAACAAACCTCTAGTAATAGACAAAGAGAATGATGCTTCTTCAAAGTCAGAACCTCAGAGGCTGGCCACTCAGGATCTGGGACAAAAGAGGACTCTGAGTGACAATCTGATATCGGTTGCCTGTTTTGTCATAGATCCTGGGCACAGATCTTTCTCAACCTGATTATCTAGACGTCTTGTTTGTTTGCATTATTTTTTTCCGTCCAATTTCTATAGTTAAGTCTATTGATTTGCCTGGGGGCTCTCCTCGAGGGGGCCACCAATATGCAGATTTCACATGTTTTTTGACCAAGGAGCTCTTTTTTTAATCCAGATACTCTAAGAGTCTCTCTAGACACTCAGTTTGAGAAAACTTGCTTGGTGCTCCCTGCATCCCTTAGAATGAACTCCAAAGCTGGTGTCTGATGTTTCTTAGCCATATTCCACTAACTCCTTACTCTATCTTCTCTCTTTGTCTTCTGTCTTTCCTATTAGCCTCCAAATTTTTATTCCCCTTTCTCTCTGTGCTGTAGCAGTGCTAGAATTACTGTCCCTTTCTCTCCATTTTCTGTGATTCTAACACTGAGTGGGTTGCAGTCTGTTAAAACAGCTAAATCATAAGAAATACGGACCCCAGAGAATGTACCATCTTGATTCCAGAGGAACCCAACAATTATAAAGAAGAAGGAGTAGCTTTTCTTCAGAACTAATAGATATTTTTTCTAAATAAAAATAGAAGGGGCGACGTAGGAGTTCTATGCTTCTGGGCATTTCCCACGTGGTCTTCAAGATCCCCAAAAATCCAATCTTCACTCTCTCTCCTGTTATTTGTTTTATTATTAGGTTTATTGTTTTTCATTATAAAATATCCTCAGGGTTGATCAGAGAATCGTCTACATCAAAACACAGCAGGCCCTTTAATTTATTATCTCAAAAACAGGGAAAATGCCAAGCCCAGGCCCGGACTCCCTGATCAGGGCAGGGAACAAATTGTGCCCTGTTCACCTGGACCGAAGGCCTCTGAAAGCACCTGCCTCTTCTCCCAAAGACCTAAATCTTCAATAGAAGGTTGTCAGAAGACTTCACCTTTCCTCCTTTAGGAATCCATAAACCAGGCTTAAAAAAAAAAAAACTTATCCCTCTTGCTTGTCTCTGCATCCCTTTTTGGGTCACACCTGGTGATGCACAGGGGTTACTCCTGGCACATGCACTCAGGAATTACTCCTGGCAGTGCTTGGGGACCACATGGGATGCTGGGAATCAAATCCTGGTTGGCCGCATGCAAGGCAAATGCCCTACCCACTGTGCTATCGCTCCAGCCCCCTGTGTTATCTCTTGAACATGTACTTCCTCTCTCTCTCTCTCTCTCCCCCTCACACTTTTCTAAGTAAGTTTCAATTAAAACTATGTTGTTTCACCAAGAACAAAAGAGTCCATGAACCTGCAGGTCACTGCAATGTGGGTGGAACTGGAGGGTGTCATGTTAAGTGAAATAAGTCAGAGGGAGAAGGACAAAGATGACCTCATCCTTTATACTCATCGCTGGTATAAAGAGAGACAAAACAAGGAAATAGACAGTATTGAACAATGACAAACACTTGGCATTGGATTATAAAACTAAGATTGCCAAGCAGTGGGAGAAGGTGGGAGGGAATGAAAACGTAGATCAGAGGTGACATAGGGTGGTTGAGGGTTTCAGCACTTTAGTGCTTGTGGGGTACAGTAACATGGTAGTCAGTGCCATCAACATTAGCACGATTGGAACCCATGTTATTTAATCCATTTCTTAACAAGTTGAAAAATGAAAAACTTGTATCAGGAAAAAAAATTTAAAAAGAAAGAAAAACTAGTCCTCAGCAAAATAGGAGCACTTTCTTCTTTTCTCCCCCTACCTATGGAAAACAGTTGGTCCCCATGACTCCTCTCCTAGTTAAGTCAGGCCCACAGCCCTACATCTGCAGAATGAATTCTTGTTGGAGGGGAGATGGTAGGATGGGGCAAGGCAAGACGCAGTCCTACCTGAGTTGTATAGGTTGGAGACATTACCTCACTGGCATGATGTAACTTCTCACTCAACATAGAAACCAGGCCTTTCCCCATTTCATAACCTTTCCCATTTCACTGTGGGGATTTTGGCACAATATGCAGGCCCTCTGGCTAAGTGTTTAACTGAGGGTCAGCTCAGTAGTGATGCTGCCATACTTTTGGGCCAGTCACTCGTACTTCTGTGGCCTCACTGCTCACCCAGGGCAGTTTCTCAAAACAGGATCCAGGCACCAAAGCAAGAGAATCAGCCATCGTGTTTATTGAAATGCAGACCCTTGGACCTGGTCCCAGATCTGCCATTGCGGAAAGGCTCAGAAATCCATTTTGGTTTTGTTGTTTGCTTTTGATACTATTGCACTTTAATTTGCATGCAAATTCTTAGCTACACACGTTACTGATTTCCCTTAAACTACTAACCTACCTGGCTTCCTACTGAGGAGATGACCTATATAACTCTCCTTACATATCTTAAGTAGGGCATTAAGGGAAATAAAAAGTTTTTAGGATTTTCAGTGACTTTTTAGAAAAGAAATATATTTTTAATAAACCCTGTCTCCACTCCCCCTAACCCCCCTCCCCCCCAAATCAAGAACCACTCCCAGGTGGGAAAATAAACTCACCACTTTTCTTTTCTTGATGGGGACAACTGTGCTTCTCCTTGTCCAAGAAGCTGACTGTGTTCTCTCTTGGGGTCCAGGACGAACAAGCTGCTGCCCATGCAGGTGGATGGAGAGCCCTGGATGCAGCCACCTTGCTCGGTAGGTCTGGCCAAATGAGTGATGATTGGGGCGCTGGGGGTGGGGGAGGCAGGGGCCTCCCAAGCACTGCACGGGGAACACAATGGTCACCTTTAGAAGCTCTTGACCAGCTAGGCAATGGTTCAATGTGATGGCCTGAGGATGTAGTTCTTCTCTGACCCTGTAGGACCAGGAGCCACCAGAGCCCCACCCAGCATTGCTCAAGGCATGGTGGTGTTAGGATTAAACAGGGTCAGGCGCATGTTCTGCTTTACGTGTAGAGAACCCTAACCTCTTTACTGTCTCCAGAGTCCTCTCTCTGGCCAGTCTTTAAGATGAGAAATTCCTTTTGCGAGTTTCTTTTTTGGCCCTTGGGGGACACTAGCAAAATCCAAGAGCTGAATGTCTCTGAGTTGGCTTTGGAAATCATCTAATGAAAGCCCTCTTCCATATTCATTCCATCCATTCATTTTCCACCAAGATTTATTTTATTTATTTATTCATTTTCAGTGAAGCAAGATCATTGTTACTGAACAAAACCTACTTAGACAGATGGTGGGGATGAGGGGAGAAAGAAAGGAGTAGGTGTTCAAGAGAGAACACAAGTTTGAAAGAGTAAGCGAACACAGAGAGACAAAGATACAAGTGAGCGAGATGCATGTTCAAGAGAGAACATTGGCTTGAAGAGTGACCCACCAAGGCTTTATTAAATAGCTTATGTGTTGGGGCCGGGACAATAATTCAGTGGTTAGGGTGCTTGCCTTGCGTGTGGCATACCTGGGTTCTATCTCTGGAATCCCATATGGTCTCCCATGCACCACCAGGAGTAATTACTGAGCGCAGAGCCAGGAGTAACCCATAAGCATTGCTAAGAATGGCCCCCAAACAAACAAACAAATAAATACCTTATGTGTTTAATAAAGGATCCTAGGGCCTGAGAAATAGTATAGCAGATAAAGCATTTGCCTTAAGTGCAGTTGACCTAGGTTCTATCCCTGGCATTTCATATGGCTTGGTCCACCTGAGGACCTCAAAGAGTGATTCCTAAGTGCAGAGCTAGAAGTAACCCCTGAGCATCACCAGGTGTGTCCCCACACAAACACACAAAATAAAAGTATCTTATGAAGCAGCTTTCTGAAAACTGTAACATTGATCCATCTTCCAAACACTCACAGTTCTAGTTGGTAAAATCCAAAACCTCATTTATAGTGGCCTGGAAAGTCCCAACTTGAATTATTCCAATGGTAGAGAACATACGAACCCAGAAGGAAGCCTGATAAACAAATCTAACTGTTAGAAAGTCATCTTTATGTGGAAGCCAAATCAGCAGACATTACCTTCTAACCTCCACTGGTTGCTTGGACACCCCCACAATCCCCTGGTGCTCCTGGGGAGAATTTCCACAATGCACAGACTCCTTAGCACAGGTGTTTCACCACCAAGGACCGAGCTGAAAATTACTGAGAACTCATGATCTACCTTGTTGAAGGTGCTTTTACCTAGCACATCACATGGTGCCAGTTGGTCATAGTTGCGCTGTCATCTTTGCTGAATAAATAAACGTCTCACAAGGGAGCAAGCAAAACTTAAGACTCCCTTAAGTTTTTAAGACACTTACTCCCCATCTGTGTTACCTTTCCTCTTAGCGGGGCCTCTGAAACCACATATTCTTTTTTGGTTCTTTCTCGGTTAAAACCCCAGCTAGACACTCTGTGTGGAAGACCATTTCCATTGGAAACTCATTGAAAGACACCCTGGGCTCTGGTCCTGGAGTCCAAAGCACAGGGCATGCTAGACGTGAGCATGTCCTCTATCCTATTGTGAAGTGCCAGTCTGTGGTCCTGAGCATCCTCTCTCTCATCGAGCCTTAAGATGCCTCAATAGTCTATTTTTTTTTTTTTGCTTTTTTGGGTCACACCCGGCAATGCACAGGGGTTACTCCTGGCTCTGCACTCAGGAGTTACTCCTGGCAGTGCTCAGGGGACCATATGGGATGCTGGGAATCGAACCCGAGTAGGCCACGTGCAAGGCAAATGCCCTACCCGCTGTGCTATCTCTCCAGCCCCCAATAGTCTGCTATTTTTGAGTCCATCAGAACACCAGGGGCTTTTTCCTACCCAAGAGAAGGTTTCTGTGAGATTTCTACTAAGTTCGAATAGAAGGTTTATTTCTAGAACTCTTTGTTCCATCTCACTTCTACAAATTATAAACTGGTCCCCAGAGGTAGACTCTAGAGCTAACATCTTCTATGAAAGCTATCTAACGTTGATAAGATACAAAAATTGCTCCACAAAATTTTACATCAATCATCTGATTTCTATAAAGACAAAGAAAAAAGATGAAAACACTCCACAGCAAAAACTAATAATAACTTACCACCTTGTTAGAAGTAGGAAGGGAGAGGAAATTTCTTCGGCTTATCATTTTGATGGAGCTAAATTGAGACAATGTATCCAAACTCCTTCTGTCTCCTAAAAACCTTAAAGAGTTGGACAGTGGCATGGGGCTCTGTGGGAGAACCTCTGCTTTGCATGTTTGAGGGCATAAGTTGGACCACTGTAATGCCTCCCATCACCCAGTGCCCTCCATGCACTGCCTGTGTGATCTCTGGTGCCACAGCAAGTCCCATGCCTGGCACATCACAACAAAGCATATAACCTCCCACCCCTAGATGTCACAAAAAGACGACAACAAGAGCTGGAGAGAGTCCAGTAAATAAGGTGCTCCACTTACCCTTGCTTGATCTCAGGCATCCCATTTGGTACCCACAGCATGCCAGGAGTAAGTCCTCAGCACAAAGCCAGGAGTAATCTTTGAGCCTAGTTGGATGTGGCTCAGAAACAAATAAACCAACAATGTTTACAACAACAAAAGGGAAGAGAGGGGGCTGGAGCAATAGCACAGCAGGTAGGGCATTTGCCTTGCACACAGCCAACATGGCCAACACAGGTTTGATTCCCAGCATCCCATATGGTCCCCCGAGCACCACCAGGAGCAATTCCTGAGTGCATGAGCCAGGAGTAACCCCTGAGCATCGCCGGGTGTGACCCAAAAAGCAAAAAAAAAAAAAAAGGGGAAAATAAATTTTAAAAAAAAAGCTGGGACTAGGTAGCTAACTCAAAGGAGTGTGGTATATGCATTGCAGGTAACCAAGTTGGATCCATAGCGCTGCATAACCTCTCAAGCACTATAGAAGTAACCTTGGTGGCCTGGTGGCACTGTTGGTGAAACCCCTGTTTTTATTATTGTTCTATTATTATTATTTAGGGGGATGTACACCTGGTAATGCTCAGGGTCTTATCCTGGCTCTGTGCTCCAGGATTGCTTCTGGTAAGGCTCAGAGCCCATCCCCAGGAGTGTCGGGGATCAAACTCCTGTGGGCCATATGCAAGGCTACCCATGATAATCTCACCCCCTAGCAAAGCCCCTGTTAAAAAAAAAAAAACTAAGAGTAGAAAAAATTAAACCCTTCCCCACATAGTTCAGTGATAGCCAAACATGGGGTTGCCAGTTCCGTAAATCCCAGTTCAGGTTTCAGAAACAGCTGCTAACTGCCTGATCTTCGCTCTCCCCCTCTCCTTACCACACTTCATAGATTACAACTCCCTGTGAAAACTGGTGTCGCCCAATGATGTTTTGGTACACGTAACTGGAAATCTATATGTGGAAACGGGTTCTGTCTATTCAAGTTGCCATAACAAAATAACACAGACCAGGTGGCTTGCACAGCAGAAACCAGTTTTCTCCTAGTCTGAAGACTAGACATTGAGATGTCAGCAGAATTGATTTCTGGTGAGACCTTCGTAATCTGCAGAGAGTGGCCCTCTCAATGAGCGCCCAGATAACCTTTCCTGCCTATGCTCATGGCCCTGGGTTTTCTCTGCCTTCTCAAAGTCACCAATTCTCTTTATTAGAGCCTCACGTCTCTGGCCTTAATTTTGACCTTAATCTTAACCTTTTCCTCCTTAAAAGACCTATCTCCAAATACAGGAAGGTAACAGAAAGTCAGTCTTGACTGAATTAAAATGAAACAACACTGGGGCCGGAGCAATAGTACAGCAGATAGGACGTTTGCCTTGCTTGAGGCCAACCCGAGTTCAATCCCCTGCATCCCTATGTTCCTCCAAGCACCACCAGGAGTGATTCCTGAGTGCAGAGCCAGGAGTAAGCTCAAAGCATCACTGGGCATAACCCAAAAAGCAATATATATATATATATATATATATATATATATATATATATATAACAACCCTTGTTGAAACATGTACCTGTTTTTCTATAAACACACATCAAATGAAAAGTGATTTCAAATTCAAGGCTCAGTGATCCAACATCACAGGATAAAATAATGTTTGGTAAAAACGGAAACCAGTTAGGGGCTGGAGAGATAGTACAGCAGTTAAGGTGCTGGCCTTGCTTGCTGTCAGAGCACTGTTGTCTTCCCCCTCAAAACAAAATCAAGGTAAAGGTAAAGGTAAAGGCCCTCCCGTTGATCGTCGATTTGCTCGAGCGGGCCCAGTAACGTCTCCATTGGAGACTTTGTTGTTACTGTGTCTGGCATATCGAATACTCTCGGTAGCTTGCCGGGCTCTCCAAGAGGGGCAGAGGAATCGAACTCGGGTCGGCCATGTTGGCCGCTTGTAAGGTGAACGCCCTACCCGCTGTGCTATCGCTCCAGCCCTTAAAACAAAATCAAAGCCAGTTAAATTAGAATGACAAAGCCATTAAATATAGTTATACAAAACTATACAACAGTAAGTCATTCTTTGAAAGCTAGGCTATATGTTGTGAACATTAATAACTTGGACTCCAAAACTAACGTTATATTAACAAAGGCTAAAAGCAGATGGGTTATGTTATTAGAAGAACAGTCAAAAATAGGCTAAATTTTAAAAAAATTTATTAGTGAAACACCATGAGGTACAGTTGCAGATTTACAAATTTTTGTGTTTGGGTTTCAATTATACAATGACCGAGTACCCATCCCCCCACCAGTGCCCATTCTCCACCACCACGGGTCC